CACGTTGCATATGCTACCACCCATTAGTCAGTCATTGGTTTGCTCCTGACATCCGACTATCGATGTTGCCATGTGATGATCCAGGACCACCCAAAGCAAATTATTCTCTTTCTGATGTATTATCAGGTCTATAGTAGTCTAATGCTATGTCACAATGCCTACATTATTTACCTCATTTCATTTGAGTCACATAGGCATTCCATCATTTCACATCATCACACGAAGAAGAATGAGTACAGTGCAATGAGATATTTTGAGAGGGAGAAAGACCACATTCACATAACTTTTACTACAGCATGTTATTATAAATATTCTACTTTATTATTAGTTATTATTGTCAATCTCTTACTGTGCCTAATTTATAAGTTAAGCTTTATCATAGGCATTTATGTATATAGGGTAAAACAACACAGTATATACAAGATTCAGTACTATCCATGGTTTCAGGCATCCACTGGCAGTCTTGGAACATACCCTCTGAGTATACTCGGGGACTACTGTATATGAGTATCAAAGAAAGACAACAGGGTAAATGGTAGATGGGACCTTTGTACTACTTTTGCAACATTCTGTAAGTTTATAATTATTTCAAATTAAATAGTCAAAAAAATGAAAATAAACAGTTGTTAAAGATAGACAATGAATGATTTTTATTTTTCATTATATTCTAAACTTTCTATAATAAACACGTTCCACTTTTATAAGTAGAAAAATAAGCATAAATTTTTAAATAAAGGAAAACAAATGACCAGTTAGAAAAACACAGATATTAAAGAGAAAAATTGGATAATTCATCACAGTTAATACTAAAGTTGGAATTTATAAAACCCTAAATATGTATTTGTTAATATGCTTCACATTCCTTCACAAACACTTCAGATACCCTGACGTTGACAGAGGATATGGGGATAGAAGGTACTGAGTTATAGTTATGAGACCTGGGTTCTGGTTCAAAATCATCAATTTAGTAAGTAGCTAGGTGACCAAAGCTAAATCATATTCTCTCAATCTTTTGTTTATACTTCACAAATTTGTTATGGTGCTGAAATGAGAAAATACATATTAAACTGCCTTTAGTAGAGGATGTCAGAGAGTCCACATAGCAAAGTGGTCATAAGTTTATACCTGGTATCAGACCACCTGGGTCAAATGAAAGCTTACCACATACTAGCTGTATGACCTAGAACAAATCACTTAGCCTCTCTGTGCTTCAAGTTTTCTCATACATAAAACTGGGATGATGATAACAACATTTTCCTGAAAGGACTGTCATGAAGATTTATTTTATATTTGTTAAGAGCTTAAAAAATAAACTATGGAAGTTGCCATTAATTTTAAAAAATTTAAAAGCACTCAACTGGCAAGAAAATAAAATCACTATTTCATTTAATACTATTTTGGCTGCAAACGTGAAAAAATATCTGAATTCTTCATCTGAAAGAAAAATATATAGACTGCTATGTTAAGAATTAATCAAGTGCTTTCATGGCCTTTATTTCACTTAAAAAAAAAAAAAAGAATATCCACTTTTATTACTTCAAACAAACTAACAGGCCACCTGGCATGCAGTTCCCCCCAAACCAATTAGAAGTGAGTTGTATAGTACAGTAGATAAAAGTCAAAGCAACATCAGCCAAAAGAACTTTAGGAAATTCTTACTGAAGCAGATTTTAACTTAAATAGATTATTAAAAATAAAATCATTAAGTGATAATCATGATCACAAATATTTTACAGATATATTAGTTTACACAAACTAAAACTCTGATACTTGTTTTAACAAAAAGATGCTGTGCAATGTGTATATTCATACATAACACCATGTTTACCTGACAAGATCCAATGTTTGACACGACAATTATTTTAATAAACATTCTGTTAGGGTTTTTTGGGGGGGAAGGTGGGTAATAAACACTGTCTACAGCTTTAAATTAAAAAAAACAAAGTTAACATATACACCTAATCAATGATGTCATGACATTCACAGAAGCTCTATATAAATCAAAACCAGAAGATGTCAAGGATATCCCACTCCAATGATAACCATGCAATGAATTAAAGACATGTGAATGAGGAAAGAGAGAGGTTGAAGTCTTAAAGAAATAAAATGAGGAACAAAACATAATCCAGAAGCTCTATATAAATCAAAACCAGAAGATGTCAAGGATATCCCACTCCAATGATAACCATGCAATGAATTAAAGACGTGAATGAGGAAAGAGAGAGGTTGAAGTCTTAAAGAAATAAAATGAGGAACAAAACATAATCATTATAAACATAATAAACTACAAATATCAGAAACAAAATAATACACTAAAAATTTAACTACTGATGGAGAGAGAGGTAAGGCTAGGGATCAAAAAAAGTAAAGCTATTAACAAAAAACTGATAGATATGAAAGACAAACAGACATACCTAACATAAGATTATTAAGTGTCATTTGGTAAAGAAAAAGAAAAAAAAATGGAAAAAAATATTCAAAATATAATTTTTTAAAATTTCCAAGAACTAAAAAAAAAATCTGAAATCTGCAGATTATAACAAGAAGCTATGTTCCAGAATAATTTGATAAACAATACTCAATTCTGAGTTATACTGCTGTTAAGGCATTGAATTTCATGGACAAAGAAACCTCAGGCAGAGAACTGAAGAAGCAAATCAAAAATTGAGGAAAAATACCAGACTGTCCTCTGAAAGCAACATTTAAAGCCAAAAGACAATGAAGCAATGTCTACAAAGTTCTAAGAAAATGAAACTGTTAAAAGTGATTAAATTAATCAGAATTCCATTCAAATATAAATACAGCAGGCGAATATTCTTAAACATAAAAGAATTTTAAGTTTACAGCACATATGAGCCCCTCGTGGAAAAAGAATAATGACGAAACCTAGCCAACTAAAATTTGACTAAAAAGAAAAAACTTGGAAATTAAAAGTTGCCACTAATAAAATGGGGGTGGGAAGGAGGTTACTGAATTCACTTAAATATAGGACAAGCACTCAAGTACTATCAGAATTTTGATTATAAAACACGAATGCTATAAATTTAGAGAATACAAAAATTAAAATACAATTTTAAAAACTGGGAAGTGAGAGGAGAGAAAATAAAAGGAAAGTACAAGAGGACTAATGTCCTCAGCTCTCATAGCAGGATGTGAGTTGATATATGCAATATAAAAAGCAGTGACATGAATACACTAAAAAGAATTGAATAATGTGGCTTGGTGAATTATATCTTTAAAAAGCTCTTGTTTAAAACATAAAACCATCAACCTTTTAATTTTTTTCATAATTTATTAACCTATTCTTTTAGAAAATAATGATTCTTTTGCTTAAAAAAATTTTCCTTCTGTTTTTCCTTGATTGATTTTTATTTTGCTAAATTTACATACAAAACTGCAATAAACAGTCTTGTATACCTATCCTTACATACTATTACTTTTACTTGCCTGAGAGATATACTCACAAAAATAGGATTACTGGATAAATGGGTGTTTATGAGTGTGTCTATATAATTATTTTAATAGATAAGACCATACTACTTTCCCATAAGACTAAAAATGTACATTCCCAGTAGCAATACAAAAATGCTCTCTTTTTCCTTTCTCTCA